AGAGTTTCTCCTCCCTTTCTCCCACTCCCCTCTGGACTGCATGGCAGCCCAAACCAAGGAGGGTCTTGATCCATTTTCCAGTAAGGTCTTTGTTCCCATTCAAAGCCCCAGTTCACCTTGAAAAACTCCCAGTGTGGTTATTCTGAGTCTGCAATGCCTGTGGCTGCTATGATGTGTTTTTCTTCTTTTCCTCTTTTTCCCAGTTGCTTAACCTGCTCCTTCTTGCTCCCTTCACTGGATGTAATACTTTATCTTCTCCTTAGTTGTCCACCACTCCAGTATCATTACTTGTATCTGCTTTACCTAGTTACTCAGAATCTCAGTTGGCAGAGGGACTGAGGGTGCAGAGTGCTAGTACCACGCCATCTTCCTTCTCCCACTGTTGACTCCCTTATTACACACAGCACAAGGCTTTCATCAAAGCATGGGGACACTGTCAGATCTCTGGCACTTTCTTTGTTCCTCACTGGGTGAAGCACCTGCATTTCCTTCTGTCTCACTCACTGTTCAGCTTCTAGATGAGCTCGTTGGTCTAGATATCATTGGTCTTCATGTGAAGGTCAAGGTTCTCTTCCTGTAACTTGCATAGGGTCATTTGATCACTCCTGTGTTCAAGTTGACCCCTGCTTTCACTAACAGGTGTGCTGGAGCCCGTTGGTTCCTGCTGCCTGAGTCCCACCTGTTTCTGTAGATCAGTCTGTAGAAGGTCGTATGTTGTTGCTTCTCGTCATTCAATCATTGAGCTGTGATGCCATTGAATCATTCAGCCGTGACATCACCAAATTGTTGAGCCATGATGCCATCAAATTGTTGAGCTGTGATGTCACTGAATCGTTGAGCTGTGATGTCACCGAATTGTTGATCCATGATGTCACTGAATCATTGAGCCATGACCTCACAGAATCATTGAGCCGTGACATCACCAAATCGTTGAGTCATGATATGTTGGCTAAAATAAACGATCTTTCATAGTGTAACCAACAGACTTTAACAAGCACAAAAGCAATGGCTTGAGTCTGACCAGGGTTTCTTGTTCCGGAGCTGGATTCTGTGGGGGGCACGCAGCAGCACCCTTGGTAGGGGACACAGACATGTTGGTATTGCACATTTGTCTGCTTCTCAGCATGCAAGGTGATATCAGGAGCAGTTGGGGGTGGGGTGCTCCTCAAGGCTAGCCAGTTCCCTTCACGGAGCATGAGGAAGCCTGTCCTGGACCTCGGTGATCATTCCACTGGCAGGGCCCATGCCACTGGGTGCACATGTTGAAGATCTGGCTGCAAAAGCTGTGGGACTCACCCAGGGGGTTAGGCTGCCCCTTGGGCCAGCTCGTGTCCCCTCCCCCTTCCAAGCACACAGGGCCACATGGACCCAGCAAGAACCCAGCTTGTTGAGGTTCCCCCAGCATGTTCCTCCTGCTGCCTGAGGGGAGCGCAGGAGACTGCAGCCACTGGTTTGCCTTTGCATTTTCTTAACAGGACATTATAGTGAGCAAAGCATTGTTAAGTGAGGAGTCCAGTCCGCCCATACTCACCTCTGTGGGTAGTGCTGTCTGTGAACCGTCTGCAGACTTTTGCCCAAAGCTGAGAGGTAGTCAGGGTCTGCTCCCAGACCTGTGTCTCAGCTGTAAGCCCTCTCAGATGAACCTGTGCCTGCTGGCGGGTCAGGGCCATGGCTCACCCCTGCTGGGTGGCTCTGCTGTTACTCCTGCACCATCCTCATGACTTCAGTCTGGTCATTGGGCAGAATCACATGGCCTTGTGTACACGGGCTTCTGAGTCACCCCCATGGAGGAGGAGCAGATGTAGGTGGCAGAAATTGGGGTCTGGGCTTGGGTCTATGGTAATTGCTGCTTGGCCGTCCTGGAGACTGTTGAGCTGGGAGCATTTGGAGGTCAGGGAAGGTCTAGGAGCAGGCTTGTGACTGCCCAGGGAGTGGGTGGCCAGCAGGCAGAGGTCTGGGGATTCAGTTGGCCACTTTCTTGTGGAGATCTCAGAGAGCAGTCCCTAGGGGCAGCTGTGCAGGGAGGAGGGAAGGCAAAGGAAAAAGGTGTTGTGTGGCTGCATGTCCAGCACTGTGGGAGGCAGAGTGGACAGGAGGTGAACATGCGATTGGCCTGGACATGAGGATGTTAGATTATTAGCATGGGCTGTGTTGGGGTGGAGACAATAGAAGCTGGTTCTAGAGACAGGACTGGGGAGATGGCCTGGCAGCTGGGGAGTCTTGTGGGCACACAGAAGAGGTTTTGATTGTGGTGGGTGTGGGAGGTGGGGTGAAGGAGGAGGGGCCGGGGAGGAGGGGTGAGGAAGGCAGGGTGTGGGAGGAGGGGTCTAGGAAAAGGAGTGAGGGAGGAGGGATTTGGGAGAAGAGGTGTGGGAGGAGGGGTGAGGGAGGACAGATGGGGGAAGAGGGGCCTGGGAGGAGGGCATGGTGAGTCTGGGTCACGGGCCTGCACGGCTGCTCCCAGGCTGGGTGGCCTGGGAGCCCTTGAGGTCCTGGTGCTCCAAGCTGGAGACAGAGCAGCTGACAGGTGTGGGTCTGGGCTGCGGCCAGGGTGGGACAGAGGGTGTGCCTTAGCCCTTGAGGCCCCTGGTTAGAGTGCTTCAGCCCTGCTTGGAGCACTTCGAGGTGGTCACTTTCATCTTGATTTTGTTTCTTTTGCAGGATTAAAACGAGGAATTTCACAAGACTGGGTTCCTTCCCCCAAATTAGACAGATACAGAATAGCAAGACAGTTAACCGAAAAAGCCATCAAGGTAAATGCTCTTTGAGACCCAGTGAGGAGGGCGATTCCTTTAAATTAGGAATTTGTGTTGGCATTTGGAGAGGACAGTGGTGCCCCTTTGCCCCCGTGCCACCCCCTCCCCTGCAGGCCACCCACAGTTGCAGCCACCAAGCCAAGTGCCCACTAACATTTTCTTTTTAACTTTAGTTGTACCCTATGAGTTGAGTGGGCCTTTGATGATCAAGAGGTACAAAGCACAGACCACGCAAGGCCCCTCCAGCCACTGCAAGTGTGTCGGTCGCCACGTGTGTCCATCGCCACATGTGTCCATCGCCACATGTGTCCATTGACCTGGCCCCTTTAAGGGTATGGTTAGTAGCATGTTCAGCATGCCGCTTTGTAACCTGATTCTTCACTTACTGTGTCCTGGAGGTTGTTCCAAATTGTGCAAATTGTGCAAATTGTCCAAATTTGTCTGTCTGCGCGGGATCATACATCAAGTACGTGTTTTTTAATCTGCCTTCTTCCTCTTCCGCTGTTTGTGAGATTTGTCTATGTTGCTTGCTATTGTCTCTGCTGTGTAGTACTCCACCCTGCAGATGTCACTTTGGGTAGTGTCCACTTTGGGGTGATTGCAAATAGCACTTCTATGACATCCAGAGTAGCCCCTGGTGGTCTGTACGCATTTGTGTGGGGTTTGCAGACGCACATCACTGGAGTGGAGTGGTTGCATTGGAGGGTATGTGAGGGCTCCAGCAAACTTTTCTGGAGTGGACGTCCAGTGTGCGCTCCGGCCAGCAGCATAACAGAGTCAGCTACTTTTGCTCCACATCTTCACCCTTGGCATTTTGGCCATTCTGGGGATGTACCATCGTATCGCGTTATAATTGTTTGAATTATAGTTAGCTTGAATTTCCCTGGTGACTAGTGAGGTTAAGGACTTTTGTTTCATCTTTGACTGGAGATACTTTTTGATGTTTGAGGTCTCAGAATATTCCAGTGTGACCATATCAATTCACCTTTCCCTTCTAGTTGTTTGATCCTTATCAACATTTGCTATTGTCAGATTTGAAAATTTTAGCCATTCTGTTGGGTGTGTAGTGGTTTGTCATTGTGGTTTTAATTTATCGTTTTCTGATAAAACCATCATTTTTTTTCATAATGTTATTGGCTGCTTGAGAATCCTTTTTGTAAAACACTTATTCAATTCTGTTGCATTTTACTTTTGGGTTGTTTTTCATTGATTTGTAGGATTGAAAAATATATTCATCTTGGATACAAGCCCTTTATCAATTGATATTTTGCACATATCTTTTTCCACTCTCTGGCTTTTTCACTCTTTAAAATGGTATCTTTTAGTGAGCAGACCTTCGTTATTCACTGTCGTCTAGTTGACCGATCTTCCCCTTTACGCTGAGTGCTTTTGAATCTGCCCCAGCCCCTTGTCAAGAAGACGTTCTCGTGTGACCTCCTAGCAGCTTTATTTATATGTGTACACAATCACATCATTGCTCCACATTTTCATCACATTTAT